CAAGTTACTAATGGAATATTTTACAGAATTGGAACCAATATTTCAAAAATTTATATGGAACCACAAAAGACCCTGAAGAGCCACAGAAATCTTGAGGAAGAAGAACAAAGTTGAAGAAATCATGCTATCTGATATCTAAACTATACTACAAGGCCAATTCGGTGTAAAAATGAATGACTGACTGTCATTAAAAGCACTTGACATAATTACAAAAAGCTGCACTCAACTATTTCTACTTTTTCGTAACTTTGATGTTGTAGAACCAATCCTCTTCATTTTGATGACTCTAAAGTAAGATGTGAGCTGGCCTCTTCAGTTAAAGTATATTTGTTTAAATTCTCTAGACATTATACTTCAGCAGTCAAAGGAACATCATCTATGTAAGCAGCTGATTGGAAGGTGTTGGAAGGTTCTCTAGATATTGAATAGAAAACAGTACGTGAGTCATCTTTTTTCTCTGCTTCCTGCTCTGACAAGGTGCTAGTGAGGAAGAATGCACACTTAGAAAGAAAATTCTGCTTAACTTTTTAAACATTTTTTATTACCTAAAGAAAACTGGAGTTGGGAAATGAAATTAATCCTTTCTCCAAAATTTAAAACTGCTGTATAATAGGGACGTAAATTGCATTCACTATATCTTTTGTTCTCAGAGACTGTTAACTGCATTTTTCTCTCTAGTTCACCACAGGAGATTTCTCTTCCCCCAGCAAAGCCTGAGGCACCATCTTTTCATCTTATTCAGCCAGTGGGCAGGGCCCTTCAGCATTATGTTCACACCCCTGGATCGATACAGTGACAGGAACCATCAGATCACAAGATACCAGTATTGTGCCTTAAAGGTAGGTCAACCTTTGCCTCATGATGATTCTTGTGAGATCCATAGTTTCTTTCATTAAACTGATAACCATGCCTTAGATTAGGTTAAAATAAATAATATGATTTCGTATGATATGACATAATCTAAGTACACTTGCAAAAAAGTCAAATAAATACACACATAAATACATAAGCTGACCTTAAAAATTCCAAAATGTACACACATAAAATAGATTATAGTTGTGTATAGATGTGCAACTATTCCAGTTGGCCTCATAATTTCTAAGTGCAAAACTTATCCAACCTTCCACTTTAGTCATTGTGTCTTCTATATAAGAAGCACATGGTTTTTTGTTTTGTTTTAGTTTTAAATAATTTTCTTTAATCTTTATTGTTGAAAGTATTACATAGGTTCCCTTTTTTTCCATAGAACCACATGTTTTTTCGTAGGAGATAAACTCTTCAAGTAGCTGCCTTGCCAATAAACTTCCAACCTAAGAAAAAATCCATAGATTATAATGAGGGGTGTGTGTGTGTGTGTGTGTGTGTGTGTGGTGTGCCCCCAAAAAAGTATACATACACTTTGAATAATTGTAAAGGCAGTCTTTATTAAAATACATTTCATTTTGAAAATTGAGCCATCAGCTATTAAAGTGTGCATACATTTTGGGGGGCATCCTATACATGTGTGTGTATATATATATATATATCTATACTAATAAAAGGGTAATATGCTAATTAGGGCAGACATCTTCCAGACGTCCATCCAGACAAAGCCACAGCGGCTGCGAGGCCCATGGCTCATGGCAGCCATGAGCTCTGGTGGGTGAGAGGCCTGGGGCACACAGCCACTGCAGCTGGCAGTGGCAGCAGCAGCAGGGTGATGGGGGCGGCGCCTTCCCCTGATCAGCCCGGTTGCCTCCCATAGAGGGAGGCCAGACCGTGACTTAGGCCCACTCCCCATGGGTGGAGGGCCTAAGCCATCAGTAAGACATCCCCTGAGAGCTCCCGGACTGTGAGAAGGGGCAGGCTGGGCTGAAGGACCCCCTGCAGTTGCAGTACACGAATTTTCATACACTGGGACGGATATATATATATAT